TTAAATCTTTTTCCACATTCATCACAAGCAAAGGCTTTTTCATCCTTGTGGATTCTCATGTGTTCCTTTAAATTAGAATTTGTGCTAAATTTTAAACCACATTCATCACAACCAAAGGGTTTCTGTCCTGTGTGTACTCTCATGTGTACGTTTAAATTAGACTTTAAGTTAAACCTTTTACCACAGACATCACAACCAAAAGGTTTCTCTCCTGTGTGGATCCTCATGTGTCTCTTTAGACATACCCCTAAGGAAAATGTTTCTCCACAATCATTACAGCTAAAGAGTTTTTCTTGTGTGTGGATTCTCATGTGTTTTTCCAAATATGAGCTTACGGTAAATCTTTTCCCACAAACATCACAACCAAATGGTTTCTCTTCTGTGTGAACTCTCCTGTGTCTGTTTAAAGATGCACTTAGGGAAAATCTTTTTCCACAATCCTCACAACAAAACGGTTTCTCTCCTGTGTGAACTCTCATGTGCTTCTTTAAATCTGAACTGGAGTTAAATGTTTTTCCACAAAAATCACAGGATTTCTCTCCTGTGTGGATTTTCACGTGATTGTTTAAAGATGACTTTAAGGAAAAACTTTTCCCACAAAAATCACAATCAAAAGGTTCGTCACCAACGGGAATGTTTCCATCTTTGTCTAAATGTGATTTTTGATGACCATCTTTAGTCACAGAGTCTGACAATTGACTATGCTGCGATTCATGATGGTTCCAATCATCATCATCGTCATCCTCTTCATCTTCATCCTCATCATCAGTCTCTGAATGGCTCAAAGTTCCTCCAGGTGTATTTATATCTGGGTTCCTGCTGGACTCTGCTGCTCCACAGATCTCAACTTCAATTTCTGCTTTTATCTGGTCGCCTGAGCTGCTGGTTGGAAAATCTCCATTTTCTGTTTGGGGCTGATGAAGCTGAGACGTCACTGGTTTCTCTTCATCATCCTCACTATTAACATAAACAATATTTAATGGGAACCTAGAATAATCAGGCTCCTCCTTCACTCTGAGCAGCTTCTCTTCATGACTGGAGCAGATTTTACTATTTTCCTCTTTTACGTCGAAAGGATCCACGTCAGGACTCTGATTTTCTGGAGGCTCTTCTTTAACATCTGCAGAAAACAAACACGACATGCATTATGAACAACTTTAGAAAAAGTTTGTTTTTAACTGAATGAGGGAGAGAGGAATACATTTGGATGTAATTGCTGTAATCAAAACATTAATACAAACAAAATACAGTTAACAGATGAAGAAGATATGCTTGAACATGTCTGCATGTGTGACTGATTAACTATTTTAAGCTAAATTAACATCTAACCGAGTTATTCAAAGTGTCTTAGAGCTGATAACATTAAGAATGAGCACACACACGCACGCACACACCCTTACTGCTGATCGAAGCTGCAGTCGATGGAAACCTGCCATCCGTCTCCTCCTTCACTCTGAGCTGCTCTCCTTCCTCACTCACACAGAGTTCCTCCTCTTCCTCCTTTATCTGGAGACGCAGCGCCTCCTGCTGGTCAACATCAGCCTCTTTTTTAACATCTGTAGGACAAAAACATTTCAGGCCTTACGAACAACTTTGACTTCATGGTCAGGATGATACAAACATGACAGGATGAGTGTTTTCAGAATCCACTAATTTATAAATTAATTATTTTTAATTTAAGCATTATTTTAATAATTCTTATTTGATTTGAAGTAGTATTATAATGTTTATATATTTTTTATTTTACTCTAAAATATCAGAATTTGCTCAACTTTATATTTTTATCTTATTAAATGCTTTAAAATATTTATTATTATTATTATTTTTATTATTATTATTATTATTATTAACTTTTCCATGAGTAAAAACACTTGAACTGCTACTTTACTTTATAAACTTCATCCAAAGATAAAAATATCTCAAACTATTATTGTAACTAGTCAGAGTGTCTTAAATTACTCCAGATAGTCAGTGTACATTTTGACCAGCTCTGTCTGGTCAAAATGTATTTTTAGATATCTAGAATGTAATTACTGATAATCAGAGGAAACCGATTCAATGTTAAAATGGCTCCTCTACCGTAATACACCAACTATTAGCGCATCGGAATCTACCGGCGACGTCGCAGCATGTATCTCGGTCTCGGCTCGGTTCACCGCAGTCAGATGAAGCTATTGCCGTTTTTAATCTCTAAATTAGTGAGCAGAAACTCCTGGTGATGTTCCTACATCCATCAGCTGGCTACAAACGATGCTAAACCGGAACTATGAAGAAGGAAATGTAAAAACCTGATGTGCGCAGCAGGACTCTGGTCTGGAAAACGTCCTCCATCTTGTGGCGTCTCTTCCTCCGCTGCTGGAGCTTCTGCTTCCCTCCAGCTGAGCCTCAAGCCGCAAACGTCCTTCCAGAGTTCATCATCATCATGATCAGCCGCTGCTGCTTCTCTCTTTCAGCTCCAGCGACGCTCCCGCTGCTGACGAAACGAGAACAATGGAGGAAGAATCCTGAAGGGAGCACGAGGGGGCGGGGCCAGTGAAACCGGAAGTCCGGAACAAAAATTATAGTTCCGTTTTAACAAAAATCCCGTTCCAAAATGAATATTTAAACATTTTAACATTAGGACACATTTATAGTTTTACCTTCTTGTTCCAGGAAGTTTAGACTTTATTTACATTAAAGTAAAAAACTCTGGAGGAAAAAAAAAAAAAATTAATGTCATTTGTTCAACATAATAGATTTAAGGATTAATTCTCCTTATACATGCTAATTATATTTATGGACATAAAATATTATTTAAAAAAAACATTCACACATTTAGATTATTACTAGTAATGCCAGGGATTGACCTTCTACTTTTTTGTTAGAGTTGACTAACATGCCAACGACACCACCAGATCTTTAACACCAAGGATTTCACATTTAACTTTTCAGTGTTTACTTTGAGAACAGTTGATAAAATAAGTTCACTTTCTAAATTCTGTGAGGAATTGGACCCACAACATTTTTATTGTTGATATAACGACTCTTGAACTGGTTCTTATCCCACATTCATCTGTTTATATTCAATATTCACTTTAAAATTAAAGTTATGAGCTCACTGACTTCTTCTACATCAGCGGCCATCTTTATGTTTGACTTCCTGCTTCCAAGGGTGCATCCCAAAGTTCTGTGCTAGTTACTACAACTAGTTAATGTCCTGACGTTAGCAGCTCTTCCTGAATTTTAGACGTTAAAATTAAAAAAACTCAAAATTTTTCATGGATTTATAATTTATTTTGCAGATATTCTCAGGTTCTGTTCTCAGCTGCGTCCAGGATGGAGGCCACGCTGTCCTTGGCTTCCTGCAGCAGCTCAGAAACTCTCCTCTGCGTCTGAAGCAGCAACACAAACATCGTTTCAATAACCATTGAAACGATGATTTCAATTGTTTCAATTGAAATGATCAATTGACCTTTCACCAGGTGAAAGGTCACCTGGTGACTTACAGCCAGCCTGAAGGCTTCGTCTGAGACGTCTTTCAGGTTGATCATGACGTTGTAGTACGCTCCAAAAACGGCCGTTTCCAGAGCTTTAGCTGCAACCTAGCGAACACGAGCCAGATTCCAGTTCTGAGCAAAACTGATTCTGATCTAAAAGCTTCAGAGAGAAGCTGCAGCTCCAACCTGAGCATCGGACTTGCAGCCGATGTTTCCAAACAGAACCATCTGCTTCAGAGGCGGCCAGAGGACGCTGACCTTCTCAGCCAAAGCCAGCGGGACGCTGACGGCCCGCTTCAGGCCTTCCTGCATCGCCGCTTCTCTCCTGCAGGTGGAGACAAAACGCGCTCCAGAAAAACCAGACAGACAGGCAGCAGCTAAAGACACAACGTTTCATCCACAGACGTTCACCTGCTCTTCTCCTCGGCGGTGGACTTCGGCATTTTCAGCGCCGCCTGAAACAGACATGATCGCTGTTTGAGGTAATGCATCACACAGCCTGTAGGTGTCTCTGTTGGGTTGAGTAATCTGGAGCATCAACAGGTGGCGCTGTCGGGTGGGAGATGCTGGTGCTCACCATGTAGACGTTGAAGGCGGCGGAATCGGCGTCCACCAACCCCAGCAGCTCGTTCATGGCCTGATGGAACGGAGTAATCAGCTTCCTCATCACGCCGTCCAGGTTCTCAAACTGCCTCTTTCCGTACGTCATCTGCCCCACCATGGCGCCCAGCGCTGCCCCCTACAGGACGGGGCGTAACACTTCCCCTTTAAAACACGCAGACGGCTCCCTCTGCTGGACAATCTCTGAACACTCACCAGAGCGCCGACAGCGGCAGAAACAGACCCTCCTCCTGGAGCGGCTGTTCGTGCTCCAACGCTGCGAACAAACTGCTGCAGAGTCAGAGACACGAGCCCGCCCACTTCCTGTGACCTCACCATGTACCTGTGCAGGTAAGACACGCCCACTTTAGCAGTGCTCGCTGCCTCTGCTGCAGTCAGGAGGGATGAACTCACTCAATGATCCTCTGCTTTGGGTTGAAGGGACTCAGTGAATCCAGGCCCAGTTTACTGATCACCTGCAACCAACAAGGTGAGGCACTGATGAACGTCTAACTATGGCAAGCCGTTTTAACATAAAATCTGAAACTGATTTTATCTGAAATCGGCTTGCCATAGACTCCCAAAGCTTTGTCCACTGACCAGCCGGACTTTGTGCTCCTCTTCGATGATGAAGAGCTGCTCTGTTTTCATGTAGAAGTCGGCAGCGTCCAGCAGAGCCTTCAGAGGAATCAGACCAACGATCTGGGAGCCGACCACAGGAAGCTTCAGCTCCTGGACGCCACAAACAGGAAGTCTGTCAGACAGGAAGTGATGTGACCTCAGGCCTGTTGTGACCTCAGCAGCCCTGACCTCAGCGACCCCGCAGATCTCCTGGTACACGGCGTGGAGCGGCGTCAGCTCAAAGTCCAGGATGTTGGTGGACACCTGGGCCAGGTTGGCCTCCTCCAGGTACCAGCCCAAACCCTGAACCTTCTTCAGGAGACCTGGCTGCTCACACAGGAAGTTAACACATCTAGATGTACACACATAGATATACAAGGCAAAGGTCTGCGAAATAAAACCAGATCGGAAATATATGGAAGAGGATTAAAGCCACTGGAAAAAAGAAATAATTCTGAGATGAAAATCCTCCATTGTAATAACATTTCAAGCAAGAAAAACAACACAGGTCCCAAATATAACAGGAAGGAGTACGGAGTGGGCTTTTATTCTGAAGTTCCACCTTCAGGAAGTTGTATTTTTTAACAGAAATAATAATAAATGTTTTTGTGTCCCACCTGGTCCTTGCCTCGGCCCTGTTCGCGGATGTCCAGGGCGATCCGATGAGCCTGCTCTTTGGTGCCAATCAGGTTCACGTTGTACGCGATCAAGAACTTACGAGCTCCGGTTACCGTGGCGCCCCATGACGGTACGAAGAGGGCGGGGCCAAAGTCAGGGGCCCACTCTTCACTTTTCAGCTGCAGCAGAAGAAGAAAGCTGATGGATCTGAGAGTTTGGACAGGAGGAAGCGGTGGGTCATCTCACCTTGTCAGGTAAAGCTTCGTACTCTCCGGATCGGACCGACGGGAGATTCCTCCTGGATTCAGACTGAGCCGCTTCTCCGTAAAGATACACTGAGGAGGACAGATTTGGAAATGTGGACATTTCTCTATCATAAGAGCCATTGCAGATAAAAGAGAAGTGAAAAACTTTTTGAAAAATCTTGGAAATTTCTGAGCTCCAGGAGTCAAAAATTTGCAAGACAAAAACTCAAAGTTTTAGTTGAAGCTCAGAAATTTTCGAGGAAAATCTTAGAAACTTCTAAGATCCATAAGTCAAAATTTTAAAAATTTTCTGAAAAAATTTAAAAGCTCCAAAACTCAAACATTTGTGAAAAGCAAACTCAGACATTTTTAAATTAAATTCACATATTTTCTAGAAAAAAACGAGGAATTTTTCAAAGCTCCTATATTTGAAAATTTTTGAATTTTGGAAATTTCTGAGTTTCAAAAGATTAACATTTTTGACTTATTATGCTCAAATTTGTTTTTCAGAAATTTTCTGAAAGTAATCTCAAAATTCTGAGTTTTTTTTCCAGCGAATGTTTGACTTTTGCCTCAGAAATGTCAGGGATTTTTCGAGAATATTTTTGAGATTGACCGGAAAATGACAGTTTTTTTTTTTTTTCTCAGAAGTTTATGTCATTTTCAGCTCAGACATTTCCTGTTTTTCTCTAGAAAATTTCTGAAAATCTCAAAATTTATGATGTTTTTCTCATAAACTTGCAACTTTTCAAGTTCAGAAATTTTCAAGTTTCCTAGAAAATTTCTGAGAATAATCTCAAATTGTCAGAGTATTTTGGAGTAACTTTACTCCTTATTTTTTTCCTTCCAACTCTCGGTGGGATATTCCTCTCCCTGTCCTGCTGCGCTGTCCCCTCGGCTTCCTGCGACTCACCAGGAACATGCAGCGTCTCCGCCAGCTGTCGTCCAAACTGGTTGGCGCAGTGGACGCAGTCGTCCATGGTGACGTTCTGGACGGGGATGAAGGGACAGACGTCCAGCGCTCCGGTGCGAGGGTGTTCCCCTGCAGCAGAAGCGGAGCGTTCCCAGTTCGGTTCGGTTCTGGACAGCGGCTTTGGACTCGCACTGACCTGAATGTTTGCTCATGTCGATGAGGCCGAAGGCCCGGCGGGCGGCGTTCAGCGCCCCCTGCACCACCGCCTCCGGGGGGCCCACGAAGGTGTAGACGGTCCGGTTGGTGGAGGCCCCCGGGTCGACGTCCAGCAGGCTGCAGCCGGCGGTCTCAGAGATGGCGGCGGCGATGGCATCGATCACCTGAGCGGAGGAAGAGGAGCAGCTGAACCCAAACGGACCTCAGTCTGCTCACACAGGACCGGTTCACGGTCGTAACGACTGGAGGATTATAATTCTGTTTATGCTAAAGTCCAAATAAATAAATAAAAATTCTCATCTGTGTCAGTTATTTTGTTGGCATATAAAATAATCACATTTAAAGATTTAAAGAAAAAAATCATTATCATGGACAGTTTCTATATGATCTGTAAAGTTGAACTTTATCCAGACTGACAGCAGATTCGAGTCTTAAGTTTCCAGTTATTACAGCAGAACCTGTGCAGATGGAGTCCTACCTTCTGGTCTCGGCCCTCAGAGAAGTTGGGAACGCACTCCACCAGCTGAGCCATGGCGTCTGCAGAGCCTGACCCCGAGTCTGACCAGTACACCCACAGCTCAAACATTAACTGGGACCGAACCACTGGAGTCGCTCAGTCTGAAGGTTTGCTGCTCCCCCCTGCAGACTGGTTAGCTTCTGTTCTGCAGGGGGCGCCAGAGAAATGGAGAAGCAGAGTCCGTCAGGTCTGGATAATTTAAATGTTTGTGATCCAGACAGAAAGGGTCAGAGTTCACCAGGTCGACTCGTTTCTGTTTGACTCAACCTGTGGCCACTGGAGTTCTGGACCCGCTCCAACCAGAACCGTTACATCAGAACCAGACGTAGGAGCATCTGCTGCAGTAGAACTGGGTCAGAACTCATCTCACTGACTGGGTTCAAGTTCAAACTAGATTGGTGTCAAGCGTTTGTGCAGCACACATTTGTGTTTCAAAGATATTAATAAATGTTCCCAGAGGTCATGAAAGGTCAACCAGCTCCACCATTTTTATGAAATCAAACTAAATTTGTGTGCATCAATCTTGGTTGTTTGTGCTTCTTTTGTTTTGAAGTTATTCATGAAAGTTTAAAGGTCAAAATGTCGCCCGTCCCTCCAACCCAAATCTAACAAAACCGGTGTAAAACATTTTTGCAGCAAATATTTTTCTTTGTGTTTCTATCATTTTAAAGATAATAATGTTACCAGAGGTCATAAAAGGTCAACCTGACCCCCCCCCCCACACACACACACACACACACCTTCTTCAAATAAAACTAAATTGGTGTCAATCAACTCTGCTATATTTGTGCAGCAAAACTTTTGGTTTGTGCCACAGCACAAATATTTGACACAAACACTAACGGGTGATGTGGGGCGGCTGGTTGACCTTTAAACTTTGATTAATATCTTCAAAACAAAAGCAGCACAAACAAAAATGTTAACAGTGCAAACGCAGCAGAGCTGATGGTGAACGACTTTGTTTGATTTCATAAAAGTGGGGGGCCTGGCTGACCTTTCATGACCTCTGGAAACATTTATTAATATCTTTAAAATCTTAGCGGCACAAATGAAACTTTTTGCAGCACAAACGTAGCACAGCTTGTGTTTATGAGGTCATCGTTTCAGCACATTGTCCACATTGATGGACACGCTTCGACGGAGACCTACTGTCTCAGGTCAAGGAGGTCCAGAGGAACCTAAACGCCTCCTGATCCGACCTGCAGCTTTTCCATGCATGTTGGAATATTTTCAGCATTTCGTGACAAACATTTCGTCTTTATGAGCTGTAAAGGTAAATGCATATCCCTCTTCATCCCATAAATCCTGAGAAAACACAGCAGAGTTAAAGTCAGGTTATGGATGACCTGACCATAACTCCTAAATCACTGTCGGAGTTTTTCCCCACACTTCAGATTCTTTATAGGTGACGAATAAGGAAGCAGTTACAGAGACAACAGAAATCCACCTATAAAGACGCCTGGCAGCTTTGGAGCAATTCAAGGCAACCTTTGATCAGCTGACCTGTAAATACACTGTGTTTTTCCTCACCAACACTTCCTCCTGCTCCGCTCACCTTAAGGCTTCAGACACGAACGCTTGGAAACTGTAAACACCCAGCAGCCTGCAGCATGGAGGCCTGGTTCTGCGTCGTCCTCACGTTGGGTAAGAAAACAGCAACTTCTCTCCTGTTTGTGCTGCAGTTAATCTGTCACCAATAACAGAGTCGCTCAGAAACTCACATCAGTTTTTAACTTTCTGTTCAACTTTCACTGGAACTCTCACTGAATAGTCAAAGTCTTGTGACAATCAGCAGTTTGAACGTCTGAGTCATCAGAAACGTCTCCAGATCTTTGCAGAACGTTTACACTGCTTTTACTTTTAACATTTATTTAATTCTGCATCGCTAGACAGTTTATTAGGAACGCTTTACTCAGAAGAGATAAAAATGAGGTTCATTTCCAAACATTTTCACCTTGTTAGTCATTCATTGATAAATGTCACAAACTAAATACTTAGTGTAGTTAAATATTCAGTTTCAAACTAAATATTTGTTTGCGAGCAAAGTATTTAGTTTGAGCAGACCCAGCTTTTGTTTTCATACTTCTGCTTACTAACATGGGAATTAGCATATTAAACATTAAACACATTAAACATTTAGCTACTAAATATAATTTCAGAGCTAAATATTTTGTTTGGAACTAAATTGTTAGCTTGCTCACTAAATATTTATGGAACTAAATATTGGACTTGCAAACTAAATATCTAGTTGGGAGATAAATATTAGCTGCTAAACTAAATGATTAGCTTTCTGACTAAATATTTAGAATTGAAGCTAAAATTTAAGCTGATAAATTTTTTCTTGCTAATTAAATATTTAGTTTGAAACTGTGTTATGAATAAGATGGTGATTTTGTTCCTATAACAGCCTCTTGTACATTCTTGTACTAATAGAACCCGTTGATCCATATGGTTCTGTTTCATGTTATGAAACTGGTTACAGCGAGTTGCAGCTAATGTTGTAGCTGGTGAGTGAATTATAATAAAACACAACTAAAGTTCTGTTTTTTACGCCTTTTTTCTACATGAGCAGACAGTTTATTAAATCTTATCACAAGACGGTATTTTATTGGGGACAATAAAAGTTAATGTTGCTCTGAGAGCCAGATTGTGGTTTTTTAAAGGTTTAGGAAGCTACTTTAATAAACATAAACTGTTTGTTGCTTTCCTTTGAAAATAGATTGATTTTTAATTTGATTAGAGGTTTCAATAAACTGTTAGACTTCATTTAACTCAGATATTTCCATGCAGCCCAATCGAGGTCAGTAGAGTGGTTGGTTCTTACTCCCTGCATGAAGTTTATCAGTTATTATCTTCAGGTTTATCTCATTAACAAAACAAACAATAATACGTATATTTCCTTCCAGTTGTTCCTGCACCCAACTCTGCAACAACCACACTTGGACCTACTACAGCTTGGTCTACAACTACAGCTGCACCACCTCTGGAGGCCACCACTGATGCAGCTGCCACCATGTCGACTCACCATACGACCAAGTCATCCACCATCACTGACACAACAACTGCAGCAACAGAGAGAATCACACCAGAGACCGAAGCTCCTGATACTACTATTACTACTACTCTGATTACTGGCGTTCCCACTACTATTACTGCTGCTCCTACTACTATTACTGCTGATCCTATTACTATTACTGCTGATCCTACTACTATTACTGCTGCTCCTACTACTACTACTGCTGCTCCTACTACTACTACTGCTGCTCCTACTACTACTACTGCTGCTCCTACTACTATTACTGCTGCTCCTACTACTACTACTGCTGCTCCTACTACTACTACTACTACTACTACTACTACTGCTGCTCCACCTAGCTGTGTTAATGGGGAAGACATCAACGGCGTCTGTGTCTGTTTTGATGAGTGGACCGGCGAGACGTGCTCACAGGGTAAGACCTGTTGGTGTCTCAGTTTACCGTCTTTAAGGATGGAGGAACTGTTTGATTCTTGGTTTATGTGAAAACAGAAAAGTAGTGATACTTGATAAGGAGTCAGAAGGTCAGAGTTCAGTATGCACAGGGGTATCCTACACATTGGATACAAGCTTCTTACCTGGACTGGACAGAACCAGAACCGGACTTTGGCTCAGTGACCTAAACTCCTCATTCAGATGAAGATGAGAGACACCAGAACCAACGATGCAGAAGTTCAGACCTAAACCTGGGAGGCCTCCTGTAGAGGAGAGTCCTCACAGAGTCTCTTCGGTCAGAAGGAGCTTTAATTATTTTGGGGCGTTCACCTAAATAAGTTATGGGAGTTTTAAAAATATTTCATTTTCCCTCCTACGTCATCGTTTCCCTGCATTTCGTGCTACTTCTGGTATTTCCAGGGCAAAGTTAATCTTCTTTATCATCTTCTTTTTCCAGCAAATTTCTGCAATGAAACAACTTTAGGGAAATTCAAATTTCCAAAGACAACCATTGGTTGGTTTGCTTACTCAGAGGAAAAATGTGCGAAAAATACAGCTGGAGGTACGAAATAACATCCTCATATTAGATGGACCTCAGTCTTCCTCTTCTTGCATCATGTTAAATCCCAACATGTCCTCTCTTCCCCTCAGCCGGTAAACCCCAGGCTTCTACCAGATGTTCGATCAGAGATGGAAAACCTCAGTTTGACGACCCACCACGGGTCCTTCAATGTGAACAGACGCTCAGCGACATACAAAGAAATGTGAGAATATCAGCATAACCAGTTTGATCAGAGGAACTGAAGATTTCATTGTGAAGTATTTGTTTTGTCTGTCAGCTCACCAGTTCTGCAGACTTGGAGGTACTGGCATCCAGCGCTCAGCTTCTGACGTCCAGACCTGCAGATCTGACACCTGAAGACGTCACCGTAGCAACTCAGATTGCCAACACGTTGCTGCTGTCGCCAAATGCCTCAGAGGTAGGAAATTCTGACAGAAGGGCATCGGCCAGTGAACATGGCTTCATACCGCATGGATGGAGCCTCTGACCCGGCACTGAGTCCAGAGTTCTGGTTCTTGTTTCCAGACCGTCAGGGTGGCAGCAGTTGCCACCGTCAGCCAGCTGCTCAATGTTAAAGAGTCTGTTGAGAAGGAAACCAACACGTCTCAAAGGTAAACAAGCATCGATTCTGTACTTCCTACTGGGTCAGCCGCTCAGACTGTGGAAAACAGGACGACACCTTCAATACTCCGTGGTTTAGAATTGGTTTGGTCCTAACAGGACCAGAGTGATCAGTGAAACCACCACGTGGATAGTTTGGTTGTCCAGGTAAAGATGACCATTTCAAAACTGAGTAAGAACCTGGATGGTCTTTGGTGGTTCGGTGTGTTGAACAAACCGTATGGTTGACAGAAACCTGGCAACTTGCCGATGTGTTCGAAGCAGTCTGGAACTGACCAAAGAAACCAGAACTAAAGCCTTCAGGCATCAGATCCTTGGTCAGGTTGGCCAGTAGATAAGGAAGGTGAACATGTTGTCAATTATTCTTTTACTGCACAAGCTAAAGTTCTGATTCAGAGCTGCTGTGCTACCAAACATCTGATGGTGTTACATCTTTTATGTTGGCGTTACCTTCCATTTGATCCGTTTCTCATGCTCAGCTTGACGCTGACCCTGGATCAGCTCTCTGTGAACCTCAGCCTGACCAACAACACGCCCCAGCTGGTCCAACCAAACCTGGTGGTCCAGTCGGCTCAGATTCCCGCGTCGGACACTCAGGGAGTCCAGTTCACCGCCTTGGCAGGTCAGTGGGTCTTTGCATCCCCTCAGCAGAGCCTGGAG